TTTAATTCTTCATGATTGATTTGTTTTAGCTAAAAAAATAAATACAGGACTGGGGATTTAGCTCAGTGGTTCCGCCATGTGCCTTGCAAGCGCAAGGTCCAAGTTCCATCCACAGTACCAAAAAAACAACAACAACAAAAATCGATTTTATTAAATTATTAATTTATATAATATGACAATCACTGCCAGGCTTTGGAGAACCAAATATGAACAAATGCTATTCTTGTAGTTTTAATTTTAATGGGAGAAGGATCAACAAGCATTTTAGAACTCAGAATCTGTCAGTTAACATACAAGTTGTTAATGATACAAATATCTTAATCTAGGGAGGGAAAATACACAGATTATTTTAACATAAAAAGTTTAACAAGGAGGTCACACAGATGCTGTTGAGAGTGGAAGGATCCTTCGTGTGAACAGGTGTTGGAGAAACGAGGTGATTGTGTCAGAGTCTCAGAGTTAGCACTGACACTAATATCAGTGTTAGTTTATGGTATTTTTGCATTGTGAAATACATCATTCATACAGAAAAATGCATAAAACATTACCTATCGCCATGTTTTAATTTTGGTAGACCTGTTGAGTCCTTTTAATAGAGACTTTGAGACATACTCATGTATTTATAGGTATGTGTAATATATGTAGACATATGCACATTATAAATTTCCGGGAGAAGGTAATAGTGAATGATTTATCTCATATTTGGGAGGCCCCTTTTAGTGAAATGGTCGGGTCTTCATTTTAATTTTATTCAACGCAAAGAGTGTCTCACCTCCATCTATTTCTATCTGGGGTTTTTTCCCAAGTATCCCATCTGAACAGATCCTGTGGCTGATAATTTATCTTTTGATAAGGAAGATTTTGATGTCATACACATTTTGCCCAAAAGCTACTCACTTCTGAGGGGTTTTGCCATGAGGACACCAGGATGCACACAGTGGCCATCCTTCTGCCTGTGCTCGGTTGGCATTTCCTGTTCACCCAGGCTTTGGTAGACATTTTTTATATGTGATCACTAGAAATTTTGAACACCAAGGAGGATGGGCTTGAATGAAAAGAACGCAGAAAGGATATAGAAGAGTCTCCCATGTTTGCTCACTCCCATACATGCAATGGAAAATAAATCATTTCAGATATCTCGGTTTACATTTAAAGAGTCACATGGGACGTGAATTTGGCCATTACCTTTCATCAAAGGATTTCTAAGCATCTCGTGAGCATGCCCAGTAATCCTCTAAACACTCATGTGAAGTTGGGAGCTGGCAATATTATTATGCCCATTATAGCGAGGACTAAATGGAAGCTCTGAAATACTAAGCGGTATTTTTATCTTCTACTCAGATATTTCTTACTACTTTACAGGCCAGTATTACTATCGACTCTTCGGATGCTTAGAGAGATTATGTGATTTGCCCAACCTTAGGGAAGAATTTGGCATATCATCAAAGCTCCCTGGGTCTTATCTGCTGTGCTAAGTTTATTCTTCACTCCCTACTCCTGCCTTCAGCTCTGTCATTCAGAATTGTGTTTAAGCTAGTGTCTTAAAAGTTGTATAAAAAAGGACTCAAATTATAAATTTTGTTAGTTTCTAAGGTATCAGTCCTGGCTCTTGGTTAGGAATCAAATGATAAGCTTTCCTCCCTTAGAATAATTTCTTTAATATTGCCGGTGTTAGAAGCATTCTAGAGAATCCTACTCAGGGTACTGCCATGTAGAAAGTGAAATAAAATAGAGGCTAGTCTTCAGGAATAATACCGTTAATTCTGTATGGTTACTCTCGATATAAAATTGCATGTCATATTTTTTATATCTTTAAAAAAAATCCAACAGCAATAATTCTGGTAGCAAGCAGAATTTTGAGCCTAGTGAAGCTAAACGTAGTATACCTAAAAATGGAATGTAGTATTTAGATCGTGGGCATGGATGGAAATTGGGGGAAGTTGGAAGCGGGGTTACCTACAGAGGTAGATCACCCTGAGGAGGCGTGTTCACACTGTTCAGCAGGCAGCTATCACCCTCTGTCTTCAAACCTTGTTTCATCTCTCAAAACCAAAACCACTCATTAAACAGTCATTTTCTGTTCCTCCCTCCTTCTTGCCCCTGGCAACCTCCATTGTGTTTTCTGTTTCTCAGTCTGATTGTTCTTAGGAGTGAAAGCATGCAGTATTTCCCCTTTGTGACTGGCTTGCTTTGTTTAGGGTGATATCATCGAGGTTCCTCTTCGTCATAGTACCTGTCAGATTTCCCTCCTTGCCAAGGCCGAACAGTGTTCCTTGTACATGTGTACCGCGCTTTGCTTATTCATCTACCAGGGACTCTTGGTTGCTTACACACGGTGCTGCCATGAACATTGGTGTGCTAACATTTGTTCCTGTGGCTTTCAATGCTTTGGGGAGTGGAATTGCTGGATCGTGTGGTAATTCTGTGTGGAATTATTTGGAGAGCTGCCATCATGTTTTTCCCAGCGGCAGCATCATTTTGCATCCCGTTGGCAGTGAATAAGGGCTCCAGCTTCTCCATATCCTCATCAGCCCTTGTTATTTTCATTTCCATTTTTTTAGTCTTTCCAATGGATGAGAAATGGTAGCTCCTATGGTTCTGATTTGCATTTCCTTGATCAGGGATGGTGACCATCTTTTCATGTTGCTTGACACTTAGTTAATGCATCTTTGAAGAAATGCGTGTTCAAGTCTTTTGCTCATTTTTAATGTGCCCATTTGTTTAAACTAAGATAGTAACCACAAGAACTACTTAAAACTTTACCTGGCATTTATAGAAATACCAGAAATCTCTCATCTTTAATTGTTACATGATACTGGTAGCAAATAAAGTTTAGAAAAAATGTTTATCTGACTGATACCTAGTCAAATTTTGCCTGTTCTTAGACCTTTATATCTTTCATCCATCCTTTCTTTTCTTTCCTATTAACATCATCCTGCTGAACTCAACATCACCTCATTCTTGGGTTACATTTTGTTTATAGATAAAGGAGCCCTTTGTGTGTAGTGGGTACTTAGCTAATGATGGATACCTTGATAGTGGGTTCAGCTCTGAGTGGTAAGAATGAACAATCATAAATTCTCTAGTAGGTTTATTCTTCTTTACCTGTTCTTCAATGCCCCCTCCATTCAACAAAGATTTAAAATGCATAAGACCTGAGATCTGTTTCCCTTTCTCAAAATACGCAACAGTAGGCAAGGTGCACAAACCCTTTTCCCCATCAGCTGAACTAAGTATTTCATAGATTTCTTTTAGTCTTGCCTATTAAGTGTCCTCAGATACTTAGAAATATCACCAGCACCTGGTGATCAGACCTGAACTATCTGAGCGCTCCATTACCCTCAGTGAATCATGCGTTTAGGTCCTCACCAAGTATAACATGGGGATGGCAGCCTATTGTAACTCAGTGCACTTTCTTATACTTTTACATAGTTCCTTGGGCTTCTTACGTCCACCTAGGACCTAAGCTAGAAAGCTTTCAAATCCAGACACAGAGTTACTTTCTCTAAGAATTAACCAATGGTGATAAAGCAATACTGCTATAAATAGTTAATACCAGGGTGGGCTCTGTATCTGTCTAAAAAGACATCTTTTAGATGCCGCATCTTATTGGCATTTTAAAACAAAAAGAAATTCTGTACTATGTGACTTTAGTGTTTGTTTCTGCTTTTGAAATGTCATAACCAGAACACTTCACATACCTAAATAAGGCAATATATGTTCCAAGGCTTAACAGAAATATTTTACTTTTAAAAATTATCTGCCATTTTTATTTGTTCATCCCTCTGTTCTCCTCTTGTTCCATTAAGAATTTACATTAAATTGATTTTAAATGGACTTCCAAAAGATACAAATAATTATTTAAACCAATTTAATCTCAAGAAATAATACAATTGGCTAATGTACATGTGATAGCAAAATTAAGCCCTTTTTAGAGGGGTTAATTTTTTATTTAATATTTACTGCCCAGTAATTTTCATAGGTTGACAACTCTTGCATTTTTGTCTCATTCCTGTATGTTTATAAGTCAGTAGTTATTTGGAGGTAATCATTTTCTAAGATCTATACAAATTTTGGGGTTGTCCTGTAACACAACCTAGGAAATGCAACCTTTTGCGTAGTGCTCTAATTCTCTACTACTTTAATAATTTCTGTTTCTCAGAGATCAAGAAAGTACTTTTAGTGCTGCATTTGTCACTGGGAAAACTAGCTTTAATTTATACTGACCTTTTTTCCTTTGAGCATTTAGTATGCATTCAATAAAATGTTGATGACTGCTCTTTAGAAGACAGCTGTACGAAATAAAGTATTATAAATATTCAGCTTTCCTTTCTAAGCATTGTCACCAACAGCTGGGCATCCAGTTTAGCAGAACAGATTTTGCACACTGAGAGCCTGGCATGTTCCTGAATCAGTTTAGTGAAGGAAACAAAAAATAGTTTCTTGTGAATTGGGGACTTATAAAGACATAGAGCATCTGTTCCTCGGTGAAGTCGTAGACTGGCTGCACTGAATCATGTTCCGTGCTAGAATAATGTGCAAAACTCCTTTCACCTTGCTCACACCTTTAGCACCTACTGCACTGTTTTGCAAATAGTGTATTCTCAACATTTCCATTGAGAGTATGCAAATTAATTTGCTCTTATGTATAATTTGCTCTTACATTTTTTATTAGTGGTATTTTAAAGCAGATAAATTTACTAATTTTTTTACCAAGATACTTTATGACTTTAATGTTTAAGTTGTTTGGTAGTCTATGTAAAAAAAAAAACACATGTAAAGAACTGATCCATTCAAATATTTAATTATGATTCCATATTGAAATAAGCTATTAAACCAGTCATCTTGAATAATTGTTTCATATATGGTGTTCTACTTTAATAAATAATATAAAAGTGACTTGGCAAAAGTAACTTACAGTGTTTATGTTTCTTACCTTTAAGTGTTTGCCTAGTTAAATCATATCAAATCTAAGATTTCCTTATATATTTTATTTGCAGTGTTAAAAGGTCACTGAAATTGGATGATCAGTTAGAAGAAAATGTAAGTATTTGCTCAAAAATTTGTGATTGCGAGATTGTGTTTTTAATTTTAAATTGTTAATTTACCTGGCTAAATATAAAAATTGTCAAAAAAACAGTATGAGTATCTGGGCATGGTGGTGTACATCTGTAGTCCCAGAACTCAGAAGGCTGAGGCAGAAGGATCACCTCAAATTCGAGGCCAGACTGGGCTGCACAGTGAGTTCGAGGATAGCCTGAAATACATACATAGCAAGACCCTGTCTCAAACAAAACAAAACAAAACAAAACAAAACAAATGTGAGATAGTTGTGATTGGCACATTTTCTGCATATAAAATATTTTTATAAATCTAATGTGTGTAAGGTTTTGGCCAGCTTTAGGTGTTCACTTAAAAAGCCAATTACTCAGAACCCTTAAAATTATTTAGTAGGAATTTGTGTGTAGAGAAAAGTAATCTATCTCTTCAGTGTACAAGGAGCAATGTGGAATAGTGGCAGTGCTGTAATCTGCAAACTGTAATCTAAAGTGAAATCAAAACATTAGTTACATTTTCATATTAAAAATGTAATTTTCTCCCTCAGCTTTGTTGGCATGGATTGAAAACAGAGTACTAACGTTGTCATAAATTTCGCCAGGGTTATCACAATAAAAATAAAATTGTACTGTTGCTATTACTTTTGGTAAATTTAGTCAGTGTCATGACATATGTTAGTTTATTATCTTTTCACACCAACTATGGATCCACATGTAAACATTAATACTGACATACTTAATGATCTCTGTAATCTTAAATGCAAGTAAATTGGTGAGAAAGTAAATGAAAACAAATAGCTCATAATAAAAGAGGCTCCTATAAAATCCCATATGAGAATGCCATTTCAAGAAATGGATTTTATGTGGAATTTCTCTTTGGAAGACTCACTGGTATTTAACAAAACAGAAATTTACCATTTTTAAAAACTTCCTAGATGCTTTTAAAAATTTTTTATACAAAGGTGGCAAAACACTGCAATGACAGTAAAAACATCATTAACAGTGTAATTAGCAATTTAGAGTACCATTATCCAACTTGTTCTCTGCAGAATGCAGCTGTGACTGTAATTCTGCATCTGTTTCTTTGGTCCGAATGGTATTTTGGTAGATGAGTAGTCCAGCTTGAAATGAAATACAATTCTTTCCTGCCCCAAAGCTGTTCTCTGGGAAATGGCAACATTATTTGAGAAGAAAGGAATGACCATTTCAGAATCCATTCCCTTCATGCCGCACAATTGTCTGCATGACAGGTGTTCTGTCCATTTTTTCTTCAGATGAGGCTGTGTCAAGGTGGCCAGCGCCACAAATAATATCCTGGTTTATAAAAATACATTGTTTCATTGGCCCAGGTCTGGACCTTTAAACCAATTAGCTTCCATGTTTACTCAATTTCTTTTCTTGATATTGATCTATTCCTATTTTACAGTTCTCCGTGATTCAGTCTTAATAGGTCGTGTGTTTCTGGGAATCTGTTCATTTCACCTAGACCAATTTGTTAGTGTGGACTCATTCATAGCATCTCTTTATGAGCCCTTTTATTTCCCACAAGGTCAGTACAGGCTGTGCATTACTAATCTGAAGTCTGAAATGCTCTCACCAGGATTTCTAAGGGTAAACACGGAGTTCATTTGTGCATCTCCTGTTCATCAGTCTTGTGACCACTTTGATGTAAATTTTTTGTACCTATATAGAAGTCCCTGAGTGACCCGAATATGTTCATCCTCCCTTCTGTGGTCTCTCCCAGGATCAGACGCATGTCCCTCAGTGCATTCTGTTGTTGCACCTGTCCTGTCTCAACACCATGATGTACATGTGCATCTTACAAGGTGGACATGAAGCCCCATTTCTCTTTAGCTGTTGTGCTGTTATAGTCACACTGGCAGAACAGAATGCTGGCTCCATATACCACAGAAAACATTCATTAGTGGGCTCTTGTAGGAGCCAAAAGCCAGATACGTAGAAGGGTAGGACTTCAGTTCTTATTGTTACATCCATTTCTGGGTGCCACAGAGGGACGCTTCAGGAGCCCTACTCCTGGGGGTGTTTATTTGATGGTTGATTTGCTGTAGGGTATGGTACTTCCCTTACCTTCCACTCCAGTTCTGGAAACCTGCAGTTATCAACTCAGATTTCACACACACACACACACGTACGCATACATGCTGCATGATAGGCCTAGCATAAGCTCAGTGAAGGACGGATCTGGCATATGAAGCAACTCCTGTACTCCAGAATTAGGTGTCTGGAATAGGAATCCTTCATCACATGTGTAGACAACCTTAACCTAACCCTGCCTACTTCTTCAGGGCCTTCTCCTAGCCCAGGCTCAGCCCTTTCTGCACCATCTTCCTCTTTGTGCCCATTTCCAAGCTTCTGGGAGAAGCAGATCAAGTCATGGAGCCAGGTGACCCAGTCCATAAATTATCTCCCATAAATTGTCGTCCAGCAGGAGGAGTTTCATGAAGGACACTCATAGAAAAGCCACCTCTCACTGGCATCATGAGGTAGTTTAATACACTGTGTGCTCCAAGTCGTTTCTGGTGATAAAGCGATAACAAAAGTACTGCTGCTATGTGGACGTGGAGCTGCTTCACCTGAGGACACAGTACAGGAATTAAATATATCAGGAAATACATTAAATATATTAGAATATACAAAATATCTTAATACATTGAAATACATAAAACTAAAATATTTATATTAAGAAAAAGTTAAAATGCTCAGGATTTTCATTTGCATATGTTAATACTTTTGGCCTCCTGAAAAGGAGAAGTGAGGAACAGTTATCCAAAGGAGCAGATGAGTAAATTCTTACCTAACAGCCTGGAGTGAAGTGGATGTAAACTTAGGAGTCGCAGATCTGCAGTTGTCCCAGCCAGCCCTTGTCTGTCCTCACACCCAGTGCTGGGGACAGTCCCCAGCTCGCTGTCCTGAGGGGGTCATGAGGACACAGGCAGGCTGCCCTCATCTACTGAGCAACCTCCTCCCGGCAGAGTGGAGTTGCTCGAGGGCCGGGTCCATCAGTCTGGTTTCATGTCAGTCTTCTCATGCCAGCATAAGAAACACTATTATTACCCTTCCTGGAAGGAAGACAGCTTCACTGCCTTAACCAGGGCACTTTCCAGAGCTAGGGCCTTGGAGTGCAGGTTTCAGGGATATTTTCCACAGAAGCCCTCACCTGTGTGGGAAATAGCATAGCTGGAATTTTTGCCTTCTCTTCTTCCCCCAGCAGAGAGCAGAGGCAGAGCACATGATGCCATGGATCTTCCCCAGGACCACGGCCCCGCCAGCTGTCCTGTCTACCCCATCCCACGTTCTCCACTCTTTGCTTGGGAAGTGAGGGAACTGAGGGTTGCCCATGATAGCATGGCCGGGGAGCAGCAAGCCCTCGCAGGGGCCCGGAAGCTGGCTCGCATCCAGTGCTCTACCCGCGTGCTACAGCTGTGCACCTTTGCGTACAGCTGTTTAACACTGTCGTCCACGTGTCTTGCTGCTGGCAGCTTGGCCCACCAGTGTTCTTGCACAATGTCCCATTGCACTGGGCGACATGGGGCAGTGCCATCAGCTGGGAATGTGTTAGACGCCACCTGAATCTCCATTCTCTGTGGAAAATTTGATCTTTAGTACTAGTGTTGGTTTATATTATCTTTAACAGTTACTTAACTTTATGAAACATTGGATCAGTTCAATAGGAGAAAAAAAATAGTAAGTGGTGTCCACATGGAGAACATTAAGTTCACTTCATATACAAAATTCATTTACTTCATATCTCATTTCATATTTAATCATCCATCCAAGAATAATTGTAGTCTCAAAGCCTAAAGCTTCTGGAAGAAAGCAGAAGAAACTCATGAAACTCTTTTCACCTTAGAGTGGTCAAAAATTTCTCAGACAAAAAAATCCCAACCATAAAAGTTGATAAATTATACTTCATCAAAATTTAAATTTTCTTCCCAAGTTTGATCCCTGGTACCAAAAAAAAAATTTGTTTTTTTAAATTTTCTGCTCATAAAAAGAGATCATTAAGAAAATTAATAGGTGAGCCATGGGTAGAGAAGAAAATATTTATAACACATATATCTGACAAAAGTGATGTCCTGAATATATAAATGAGAATAAAAATAATCTAATAAAAGTGCAAAAACGAACAAGTATTTCACAAAAGAAAATACATAAATGGGAAGTTAGCACATGAAAAAATGTTCAGTGTCATTAATCATCAGAAACAGGAATTAAAATCAAACAAATACTATTTCCGCTGACTAGAATAGCTAATGAATTCAAAGTATTTAGTTTTGTTTTTTAACACCCACTAACACGGCTAAAGCAAACAAAAACACTGAATGTTGGTGAAAACAGAACAATTCAAACTCACACTGATGGGGTTTTTGAGTGATAAAAACATTTTAAAGAATTCTTTAACCATATATATATGAAAATATATTTAAATATGTATATAAAATATATATATATAATATATATACATATATATACAATATATAAAATGTATATAAAATATATATATATATAAAGAGTTAAGCCTCTCTCCATCCTGTACCCGACTGTAATAATTCTGGTCCTAGATACCCCAGTGAGGAGTAGCGTATGTGCACAAAAATACGTGTACAAGAATGTTTATCAACTTAATTCACAGTAGTCCAACACTGGAAAAGCAACCTCCATGTCCATAAAGAAGAAAGTGGCAAAGCAAATTCTGGTAATGTACATTGCAACAAAGGAACACACTCAATAATGAAACAGTGCACTACCGATACAGTATCATAAGTCATCTCCGGAACACGTTAAGCAGACGAAACCGGGCGCAGAAGTTGTATTTGTGGCTGCTTGAAGTTCGGCGCCAGGCGGCAGTGTGCGTGGTTACCGGAGGCAGGAAGGGGTTGCCGGGACGGGGCCGCCCGCCCGCGGTGTGGCCGCAGCGCAGAGTGGATGGGGCTCGAAGCATGGCAAGCTCTGTGCCTTTATCTTATGTAAATTACACTTCAGAAGAGTAAAGAAAAATAAATCAGGATGGAATTCATACTCTGAAAAATAAAAGGTTATTTGAAAGCATGCTGGCAAACAGCCATGGAAAAATCTCATAAAACTTCTTGCTTACAGGAGTCTTCTTGGCAAGTGCAAACTTGACCATTAATATTTACTATCTGAAATTATAGAATATGGGCACAAATAGAAAACAAATGTATAAAAGATTTTAGCCCAAGTTTCATTTATTCTGTTAAAAATTTAAGATATCTGGTGTGAAAAACTGGAAGTGTAAATAAGGATCGAAATGTATAATTGATAATTGAAATAGGAAGAAAAGGTCTAAAGGAGTAGGGGAAGTGGGAGGGGAAGGGGAAAGGAAAGGGGAAAGAAAAAAATATGAGAAAAGGAAAAAATGGAAACAAAGTCTCTGTAAATAGGGAAGGGTGGAGAGGGTGAAGGGAGGGCAGGGAATGGGGAAAAAATAAGAACCAAGATGCATTATGGAAAGGTACAAGATCCCAATGATGAATGTAACTGTACTGTATACCTAAAATATATCAGTAAACTTAATGAGAAAGAATTTAAAATATACATGTTATTAAATTCACAGATCTTGAGTGGTTTTAGCAGATGTATAATTTTGTGTATCACATACTTAGTCAAGAAATAGAATGTTTCTATTGCCACAGATTTAATACATTGGCCATATTCTTTCCCTGCTGTTCCTGTAAGATCACTGAGATAAATGCAAAGTGATTTGTCCTCCATAGCTGCCATAAAAATAGCAAGAAAAGGGGCTGGGCATTTAGCTCAGTGGTTCTGCTGGCTGTCTTGCAAGCTCAAGGTCCTGAGTTTGATTCCTGGTACCAAAAAAAAAAAAAAAGCAAGAAAACCCCATGTCTGTAGAATAAGTTAGTTGGTAGGTATCTTTACTCTTCCAGTAACCCTAGACTGGTGGTCGTGAACCTATGGCACATGTGTTATTTGTTGGGTTTTTTTTAAGACAAAAGATGTTAATGTATGAGTTGTTTTTTCTAAACAAAAACCTCAGTGTTCAGGTTTAATTGCAGTGTTGTCGCTTTGTGATAAATAAAGGGGTTTGGGGTTGCAGTTTGGGCACTCGTCTCTGAAAGGTTCGGCATCATTGCCCTAGACCCAGAATGTGAAAAGTGCCTAACACAGTTGCTGTTTAGTTTTCTAATAAGAATTCCATAATTAGTCTTAAGTGAGATGTCCCAGTCACCTAATTAAACAGCATAAGGTTATTCAGAATTAACCTCTCTTTAGCTGCCCTTTCAATTCTGATCATCCAAATACCTATAGTACGTGTGTTTTAAATATTTCAGTGACAGCATAGGCTAGTAGTTCACCATAACAGCAGATTTTTTGTACCCATACTTCATCCACAAAAGAGCCCTTAGTTAGTACTTTCTGGACTGTTTATAGTACGTAAAGAATCAATGAAATGCAGGCACTTCCTTGGTAGAATATGTTCTAAACAAGGTGACAAGGCAAGCTACAATTCGTGAAGGATATTGAAGGAGAATGTCGTTTCTATTTGAAATAATAGAGAGAGCATTGATTTTTTTCTAAGGCGGAAAAAATCAATGCTCAAATTTTAGTTTTGCTAATGTGCAAGGTCTGACCACTTTACAAGAACAGTGGCATTTGGGCTGATCGTAGACTGACTACAACGCAGAATTTTTTAGGTTTAGTGGTGGCATCAAACATCTCTTAAGGAGTCAGTACATGTTAGAGGCACCTGTGAATTATTATGCAAGTGGTCAAGGCATGTCTCCCTGCATTTATTGGCATCCTGTTTCCTTTCCCTTTTCTAGCCAGGTCTGTGCCGCTCGGTGTTTCTTTCTCGCTTTTCTTACGGGTCTGGTAAGGATGCTCATCATTGCTGAGTAGAAAGGGCATGGCTCTCAGTAGCTTCGTCTTCCTTGGTCACAGGCTTCTTAGCGCTTCCTTTCCTGGGAGACTGACAAGTAAGCTGAGTCCTGTAAAGTGTAGAGGACGGCAAGTGAAGCTCCTGGGTTGAGTCGAGGCTCCCTCTCAAGTGTTGTCAGGGATGAGGAGCCAGAGGGAAGGGAAGCTTAGGGAAGTGAGATTGCACCTTAGTGTATGTCTGGAGGGCAAACAAATAAAAATGCCTCATTTGCTGAAGAACATTTAGTGGGAGAGTAGGGAAAGGTGGATTTTCAGTTTTCCCTTCATACAGAAGTTGTAAACACATTTTTTAATTTTAACCAACAGAAGGACCGAAAAAGACTCTGTTTGTTTGTTTGTTTGTTTATTTATTTATTTTGGTACCAGGGATTGAACTTGGGTCCTTGCGCCTGCACAGCAGGGGGCAAAACCGCTGAGCTAAATCCCCGGCCCAAGACTCTGTATTTTTAAAGTGAGCACACATACACACTATTTTCTGAAGGCTAGAAAATTGTTTTCAAGGAGAAATTATTATCTGCAGTTGTAATGTTTCGACATTTGGCAATTGGATAAAATAATTTTTTTGGTGAAAATAGGAAAACATTGACATCAGTGTACATTAGGGTAGTGACTTTCATTTCTTGTAAATACACAGTGAAATAGTTCTGGGCAATAAATTCTTGGAAAAGTAGAATAGGGATTGGATAAATGTCATAGTTTGTGACTGAATGCATATAAACAGGTGAAAATTCAAGATGGAGAGGTCACAGTACCCACCTGATAGAGACTTAAACCCTTTCACCCTGTGAGAAAGATTGCTTTAGAGTTATAACTTGGTGTTATACTTTTATTTTTTTTTCAAGATTCCAGTTACATTGTGGCTACTGTGTATATGTAAGGAAAGAAATGTGTTTTCTCCAAAACAAAAAAAATTTGTCATCTAAAATCTTAGCTATAAAAATTTGTTTGATATTATAAATTCTGTAACTAATACCAAGATTACTGAAAAAGGGCGACAGTCACTGTTTTTACCATGGATGTCTTAACAGGAAGAGATAGTTGACCACAGAGAATTATTTCAGACACCCAAGCCAAAGTTTAGTTCTGCGGTGTTGGCAACATATGAGCCTCCATATTGTTCCTGTGTCCCTCAAATTAATCCTGTGTCTGTTTCGCCTCTGGATTTAGTGTTTTCATGCCTTTTTTTTTTTTTTTTTGTACTGGGGATCGGACTTGGGACCTTGCGCTTACAAGGCAGGTGGCGGAACCACTGATCTAAATCCCTGGCCCATCGTGCCTTTTGTATTTATGCTTTGCCTAGGCCTTAGCCTTCCCTCTCACAAGAATCCTTCTGTGAGTCCACTTTGATTTTCACTCTTTCTGAATTTCTGTAGCACATATGCTAACATAAGACCTCATTTCTGCAGGCTGCAGTAATTTGTTGGATTTCTTTCTGTGCATTAGTCAGCAGTTCATTAGTGATCAGTAATCATTATGGAAAGCAACTTTAAGGAGCATTTGGGAGAGCAGACAATGAGTAATGTGATGATGGATGTTTGGAGAAAGGAGATCGTGAATAGAGACCTAAACTAAGGAAAAGTAGGGCTTGTGGGGAAGAAAAGGAACAGAACTTTATAAGCTGAGACCGCAGGATGTCTGGGATTCCACTGTTGTCCATGGTCTGGTGACTGAAGCCGATGTGCCAGTGAGTACTGGATGGGTGAACAGCGTACAAATGAGTGCATTTGTGCAGAGCGATATGGCAAAGTTTACTGAACCGTCCCTTTTAAAACATCCGTTCCTTAAACACTTTTTAGTCCTCTAAGGGTACAAAGATGAGAAAAGTCATACTACTTTCAGAAGCAAATTCTAATGGGCAAACAGCAATGTAAAAAGTTACCGGAGTGTGTTATCTGCAGGAGGCGGTGGCACAGACCTCAGGACAATAGCACAGAAGGCTGCAGAGAACTGTGTGGCTTAGGGAGTGAGCTCAGGGCCCTCAGCTCCAGGCTCCATGGCTTGCACATTGTCCTGGTTATTGTTAAGGTTGCTGCATCAGAGAACTATGGTGAAGGGTGAGGACAGCTCGGGTCCTCCTAGGCTTCCATGTGGCCCTTAGTAATCAGTGCCCCAGAGCGTTTCCTGGCTGGGCCGCATAATCATATTTCGAGTTAATCTGAAACTAAAGGATCTGGTTGTGAGAGCTGGTCGTCTCTAAGCCTTGGGGACTATCATCTCAGAAGGTAGTAACCCGTTCAGGCTAAAACGTCCTAAACATCAAGCTGCGATGCCTTAGTTACTGTAGAGACCTGAGATGTGCGCCCAATTTGAAGGAACAGTGTTCATTCTGAAGGTGGTGATTGAGTATATTTGAAACCTGAGAAGGAAAGGTAAGGAAATCAGTATTGGTCTGAATTTTGCTGAGTGTTTAAAGGTATTTTCAAAGATACATAGCTAAACATATTTCTGTTTCAAATTATTACTTCTTTCCAGTCATTTGGTCCTTCCAAAATCACAAGGAAGAGAAGTATTACATCTTACTCTCCAACAACTGGAACTCGTCAGATGAGCCCGTTTTCTTCTCCCACGAGCTCTAAAAAACAGAAGCACAGAAATAGACCATCAAATGGTTAGTTGAACATTCTCTTCCACTTATAGTAAGATTTTTTTTAGTGATTGCTTAAATCAGGATTTTGATTTAGTAATATATGGATCTTGCTGCAGCTGATTTGTCTCTTAAAGAATTTAACATAGAAAAGGCTAGAATGTAGTTATTACTTTGTATAGAAATGTAAACTTTCAGGCACTTATTTTAACATGCTGCTGCAGACTTTGTTCCCTTACTCTCCTTCCATTAAACAGAAATTATGGCCTACTGCCTTCAGCTACTATCAATTATAATGGTCACGGATCCACCCTGCCCAGCTATCCATCATGTGCATAAATTAAAGGGCACATAACTCAAGCACTGCTGCGTACAGTGTAGAGTGATGCCTCAAATGTTATTCTATCCATGTTGTCCTCTTAGTTTTATCCACATTGAGTGTATATCTTTATATTTTGCCTTTGTTCATTCCATTTCATTCCCTTTTTCATCTATTTCAAAAGCATTTGCAAAAGGTTTGAAGAATTTTTTATAGAGAAAAGCTTAATGTGAAATCTTTATTTTTACTTTAAAAGATTAATTTTGACGATATGTATTTGTTGCTGTCTGGTAGCTTATTGCTAAAATATTTATTTAAAAGTATAGATCTCAATTTCATAGATTTAGTTTTTTATATTGACCAAGGTCATGAATCAGTAACACGTCAGTTTCTATAATAGAAAACCTTAAACAGGCTCGCATTTAATAAAAGGGTATTTTAGATAAGCTGTAATTAGCCTAATTCATCTTATTGCTTCTCACTCATCGAGTGCTAAGCGTATACTAGAATGAATACAAAAACAAAGAAGTCTCTTCATGTTACCTGAGTTGTTAAATCGACACAAAATGAGACCTTGTGAAATCTTTGATTTTACTTTATCAAATGCTTTTATCTTAAAGCTATTACCATTAGGTTTGCTTTCACAAAAATTTATAAAAATATGTATTTTCCTCAAGTTCTGGAGTTCTATATTTTAAATACCTGAAATATCTTCTTTAATTAAAAATTAATGGCATAGAGATTGCATGTCTTTCAACCAAAATGTGAATAGATTTTTAAGTTGATATGTACTCAATTTCCATATTGAAATTAAATATGGACTTAAGGGAACATTCCTTTTGCCCATAAAAAGATTGGTCATATGATTTCGGTTGACATTTAAGTGGGTAATTATCACAGATTATAGTACTAAGTAAGCTCTTTCTTAAAAAGTCAGGCAGCAAGGGCTCTGAGGGGTTGGTGGTATTCTCTCTCTTGGCCTCCATGCCAATTACCTGGAGCCAATTCACTCTGGCTGTTCATTAGACTGCACTTGCATATTTTGTGTCCTCCATCACATGTATGTCCATGTCTAGGAGTCTCAAAACAGGACAGTGTTGACAAGGATCCTAAACTAAATTGCATCATTTGTAAGCATTTCACTGGTCATCTTTTACATATGTTTAAAATGAAGGGTTACTCTTCTTATGCAGTAATGTGAGTTCCAGATAAATATGACTTGGGAGGTCATACTCTAAGTTCCAACTGAGGTCACAACCTCCATGAACAATTCCCCTTTCAAAATACTATTTAAACTTAATGGGGAAAAAAAAAATACTATTTAAACCAGGGATTTAGCTCAATGGTTTCACCGCCTGCTGTACAGGCGCAAGGACCCAAGTTTGATCCCCGGTACCAAAAAAAAAAACTATTTAAAATATAACATAAAATTTAAATAACATTTACAAGGGTGTGTTAGTTGCTACTCACTTCCCATTATACTCAAGATAAAATCTAGAACCCCCATTGGGACCTTTTTTGGGGGGTGGGTACTGGGGATCGAACTCAGGACCTTGCGCTTGTGAGGCAGGCGGCAGAACCACTGAGCTAAATCCCTGGCCGCTTATTATGACTTTTAAAGCCACATGTATCTGCCTCCTTTTCTACTACTGATTGCACATTCCTTACCCTGTGGCTCGAGGTGCCCTTGCTTCCTGCTGACCTCAATGGCACTGAGCCACTTCCGGCCTGGGACAGTGCTCTGCAGCACTTTCCCCTTAGGACTGTCTTCCTCCTACAGTGATCTGTGCTTTCTGCGCACAATTGAACCTCGGAGGTATGGACAGACCCCATTTGTGATGACAAAAGGAGGAAAATCTGCTTCTGTATTTCCCTATAATCTAACTGGCCCCAAAGGGAGGGATATGTTCTACTTCCTCAGTTTATACATTTAAGAGCTAGATGTTAGTGTGTGTGTGTGTGTGTGTGCGTGCGTGTGATGTTTTGTGTGTGTTTATATATAATATATTGCTGCCCTCTCTCTTAGCAAATTTTTCTAAACTTGTGCATTTTAGAGAAAAGGAAGGGTAAAATTTTCTTTCCCTTTACTACCAAGAACACTTCAGACGTGTTGAGTATTGATGAAGAAAGGAGGGTAAAGAAGTTTGCATAGTCAAATACTCGCACTCATTCCCTGGGCAGTGGGGTGCAGTGGAGTGTGGAGATGGAGATGTGTAGACAGCAGAGAGCAGCCAGAGCCAGCAGGCGTGAGCAGCTCCGGCGTCTGTCCAGCAGGAGCGCCACGGAGCAGAGGCAGCCTTTTGAGATCGGGAATGTCAGGTTGTCACAGTTAAGGAAGGAGGGACATTTCCAGATTGAAGTAGCAAACTTAGTCGGGCCAGGATAAATGAAAACAAATGCACACCGAGACATGTCATAGCGAACCTGCAGAACATGAAAATGAATGTGTTAAAGGCACCAGAGAAAAGACATTCTGTACAAAGGAATGACAGGCTTAGCGTGTGTTTCTCATCGGTAGCAGTAGATTCCCTCAGAAAATGGAATAACAACATGGACTTAGAAACGCAGTTGGATTTTTATTCAAGAAGTGAGGATGAGCAGTGATCTCCGAGTGTCGGTGAGGGTTCCGATGACAAACCCTCGCCACAAGCACCCCTGAAGGATACAGCTTTTCAGGAAGCAGACCGAACCCACACAAGGGATGAAAGGCAAAGAGGGGTGGCGAAAAGTAAGTTAGCAGATCCAGCTGCAAAGCTAATAACAAAAGCCTAATCACACATTTTGCTGACTGTGAGCAAAAATCAAACAACTTGAGGGTTCAAGTCAAATCACAGACCATACCAACATGGAAGATAGGCAGGGGACAGGTTGAATTTAATGTGTTTAAAGGTCTTTCTGTTTTTAGGCAAATGATGGGATATATATCAATTTTTAATTGTTTTTGTTTACTTATAAAAGAGGGGAAATAGTAATGTCTACCTCAGAATTCTTGGGCATATTAAATGATTTAATACACAAAAGCACTCAGAACAGTCACCTTTCAGATAGCAGGTGTTCCGTATATATGTTGACTATTTTTACTAATACCATTATTATGTAGACTAAGAAAAGACATAGGACAATTGAACAGGAACAGGAAAAGAAAACAATGAATATTAGCTTTTTAAAAAATGTAGCAGTTGAGGACCGGGAATTTAGCTCAGTGGTGTTTGCCACCTGCCTTGTAAGCGCAAGGTCCTGAGTTCGATCCTTGGTACCAAAACAAAAAAGAAAGAAATTATCAAATCCAAAATAAATAAAAGCTGGGCCAGGGATTTAGCTCAGTGATTCCAGCGCCTGCCTTCTAAGTGCAAGGTCCTGAGTTCGATCCCCGGTACCCCCCCCCACAAAAATAAATAAATACTAAAAGCAAAGAAATAAAAAACTGGTTTTTTGAAAGTCTGATAAAATGGTAAATCTCTGGCAAGACTAATTTTTTTTCCAAGTGGGAGAAAGAACAGAAGTGTGTGTGGAACTACTGTTTCATGCTATTTTATTCATTTGAAATACAGTATGTACACTAAATGCTTCCTAAAGTGTCCTAATTTGAATGAAACACTGTAGATCTTACATTTTTGTTGTTTCTCAAATATTAATATTTTAGTAGATAAAAAGCAGTTCTGCCTTTCTTATTGGTAGCTTTTTGTTGAATAATATAGGTAATATGTAAGATTGTTACATTTCTTCCCATGGAACTTCATGGTATTTTAATTTTGAATAGAAATAGAATATTAAAATTCTTATTTTTCATGAATTAAACCTCTAAAGTTCATCACCCTCTACTCCCATTTAATAATATTAATTTTGTTAATTAAAAGAAGAGCAGAATTATGCCAGGATCCTATTCACCTTTTAGCCTGCAGGCCCCAATTTGACCTCCAAGTAACTCTTAGAAAACTGTTAGGAACTTGTGTGGGACCACCCAAGACAAATCCCTCGAAGCTGTGTGGGTCAAGGTTTTCCTTGACTCTTAGCCTTTCATTTGAGACCAAAGTAGTGCCTGTGGTGTTTGCCAGCTGAGAAGTAATGTTGCATCTACCAGAACACAGTACACCATCCTAGCCAAGTTTGAACTTCTGGCTGACACAGTAATATATGAACAAGCAGGCCCCGCATCACTGTGAAGAGCAGTCATTGCAGTCATCGGCTGCGCTTCTGTCCTGACTGCCCCTCTGCAGCTGTCTGGGCTTGGACAGGCCTCATACCCACCAGTGCCTGTTGCTCATCTGGGACATGGACTGAGAGGGACTGCTCAGAGCAACTGCGATTGGCTGTCACATGTGCCTGACCCTAACAGGTCCTGTGGGTCAGCCAGGGTGGTCTCATGGTCATTAATTAACTACACCTCCATGCCTTGGGCCCTGCTGAAAACTCTCCTCATGAGTTAGGGAAAGGGGTCCCTGCTCCTAGCCAGAAACTTCAGATACAGTGCTGAAAGAGGCCAAGATCCTGTGAGGCTGCGTTTGTGGGTGTTATGAAACTGCACTTTCAGAGAATCAAACACACAACTATCTGTTAACTTATATATGTAACCCAGCAAGAAAAATGCATGTAGACACTGAAGCCCTTTAGGATATGGTAATCATTTTTAAGGAGAATTAAATGAAAGAAAGTAAATTTTTTTTGGAAACTGGGCCTCGCTATGTAGCTCAGGCTGGCCTTGAACTCACAGGGATCCTCCTGCCTCAGCCTCCTGAGTGCTGAGATCACAGGTGTGTGCCACCACACATGGCCCTAAATAAAGTAATTTAACTAGAAAATTTTTACTGACATACTACTCGGTGGTCTCTGATAACTGACCCACATGTTCTGCCAAGAGATATTAAAATTCCTCTTTAGCAGCTGAAAAGCATTTAAAAACATAGTCCTTCTTATGAGGACTTATAATGAGATTAATGTTACTGATTAATGTTATTGATCCACACATTGCAAAGTGAGATATATGTATGACTAATTCTTTTACAAGAATATGTTTAGGAAGGCATTAAACACCTGGTGAGAGTTCCAGGAGAAACACATTCTATACTGTTTCTTCTCTACCATTACTAACTGCTGGTTCTGAAATGTGAAAGTGAATTACAAGTTAAAGGAGCAAAGTAATTTTAACATTTAATTTTTGGATCTTTACTGAATACAGACAGCACAGTACAAAATTCAGGCAAAGATTTTCTGATATAAAAGTTTAATGCGTAACATGGGTCTCTTATAGTTTTCTACAAGGCATATATTTTTTAGCTAGGTTTTTTTTTTAGAGACAGATTTTAATAAATTATTTCTTCCAAAGCTCTCTGAAGTCATATTGTTACTCTTTTCTTACATCATTTGCTAAATAAACTTTTAACCACATTCATTTTTTCTGTTTGGAATTTAAGGATACAGACTAGTCAAATAATGAAAAGTTAACAAAAAAGAGAAAAACTAATACTTTAGCAAAATTTTTAAACCATAAGTTTTTCTCTTTTGCCATTGAAACATGTTTGGAGGTAATAATCTAGTTATGACAGGATTTTTTTTTTAAGGGAACATCTAAGTGTAAAGTAATCATGAGGGATGTTATTGTTAATTTCTGATTTAGTTCACTTAGTGGAATTATATTTAGTTCACTCAGTGGATAGAAAATACACTTTTTTGTGGTATTGGATATTGAACTCAGAGCCTTTGCAATGAGTTTGCCTTGCACTGTATACTCCCAGCCCATTTATATTTTGAGACAAGTCTTGCTATGTCACTTACATTGCCTGGGCTGGGCTCAAACTTCTGATCCTCCTGCCTCAGCCTCCCAGAATGCTGGTATTCCAGGCATGCGCCACCATGCCACCTGAACATACACTTTAAATAAGCTTTTCTCCTAGTTAGGAGAGCAGGGCAGAGTAATGGAACAAAAACTATGGAGGAAGAAATGTAAACCAGCATTAGAAAGTCTATCCTGGGCAATAATTCTTAGTATGTCACTAAATTACAGTTGAAAAAATGGTCATCAGATTATCTGTATTTTCTTTTCATCTGGAAGTATTGGATCCTCCTGCAGCATTGTCTAGACCAGTGGTGGCGAACCTCTACAGTGCGTGGCGCAGCGGCAGTTGGTGATTACTGAAAGCTCTAAAAGGTTTGCCATCACTGATCTAGAGTTCCTTCACCCAGTACATGTGACTATTTAGCATTTGGAAAGTAACTGGTCTGAATTGAAATATACGAAATATGCACCAGATTTCAGAGGCTTAATGTGGAAAACACTTAAATTGTTTCATTACTAATTTTATATTGATTGATGTTACTTCTAGAGTAATTTTTTTCTGGTACAAGGGATGAACTCAGGACCTTGTGCTTGCCAGGCAGGTGTCGTGCCACTGAGCTGCATCCCCAGCCCTTACTTATGTTGATTGATGTTAAATTAAGTTCTTAGCTATACAGGGTTAAATAAAATATTAAAATTTATTTCAGTGGTTTTGCTTTTTAAAATTTCACTACTAGAAAATTTAAAATTACATAAATGGCTCACATTATGTTTCTGTTGGAGAGTGAGGGCTAGAGTTTTTCATGGTACATTGCAGTAAGGAGTTTTTAGTAAAATAGTAACAATGAGTGCATAGTAATTTCAGTGGCAACTCTTGAACAGAGGAACTGTATGACATAAAAATATGTAATGTGAGGACGAGAGGTGTCACCACTTACACATTTTACAAAGTTATTCCTCTGGACTGGTTTTCTTCAGCAGTAGAGAGTTTGGGTTATTCGTTCCGTTGCTTGTTTACCCAGTAAACATTGGTCCCGAGCCAGCACGTGCCTGACATTGGAGATCTGGCATTTGCTGATCCGCGTCCTGAGTCCTGCTCCCTGTACCTCAGACGCCTTTACAGTCATGCTGCATGGGGAGCTCTGTGGAGCACCTGGAGCAAGCACTAAGGCGTCCGCTCAGAGAGCAGCCGCTCTTGTGACTGCCGAATCCTGTGGGCATCCTGCTCTGTGGAGCTTTAACTTCTCCGCCTAAGGGATCGTGGCTCAGTTTCCTCCCGGGTCTTCGCTTGTGCTTCTGTTAACACATGTAACTCGGGAACGATTAGATGAGCTGTGGCCCTCGGTAACTGCATAACATTTTACTAATAAATTCTTTTAACAAATTATATATTTTACAGATTTCAGACCTCTCATCTGAAATGCTTAGGACTAGATGTGTTCCAGAGTTTTTTGGATTTGGGGATATTTGCATAGATCTTACCAGTTGAACATCCTTAAAAGCTGAAAAGTCTACACTCAGTTTCAGATTTTGGAGCATTTTGGATTTCGGAGTTTCAGATTAGGGATGCTCAACCTGTGTAAAGATCTTTCTAGTTCTGCTGCCTGCTCTGCAAGTGCAAAGACAGGAGTTCAGTCTATGCTACCAAAAAAAAAAATCTTTCCAAGGATTTACTAAGTAACACTTAAAGTTGAAAACAGAACTACCGCCTGATCCCACAGCCCCGCCACTGGGCACATCCTCAGGGTTGTGCATTGTGCCCGTGTGACTGTGGAGTTACCCGTGACAGCTGGACAGGAGTCAGCGCGCTGAGCATTGTGGTAACAACTGGAAAAGGGATGCGGCCTGCACGTGCCAGGAGCGCTGCTCCTCCTCTCGGAGAGGGGCTTTGGGTTACCAGCAGTGCGCCAAGCCCTGAGCACCAGGCTCCTGCAGCAGGGAGGGGCAGTCGGACCCTCAGTCGCACAGGGCATGCATTCCAGGGACCTGGCATCACCAGGTGACAAGAACAGGACTGGAGAACCACAATAGGGTAATTTCCCACCTCTTTTTTGTCTGTCCACCCTTCTATTTTCTATATGAATTTGACAGTTTACATTTTACTTAAATTTGACAAATTCTGTCTTAACCTCATGTTCTTTTCTTTATTGCACACACAGGAAAGAGAAAAAAGTTGGATCACCTCAGTTTGGCAGAAAGAAAGGAATGCCCACCAAAAGACGATGAGTAAGTTTGTGTTTGGAGGTGTATACACCTGCTTTGCAAGAAAAGGCCTGCCTGGGTTTATTAAAATGATAGTGAGGATAGAAAGCTTGAGGTCATCCTTGGCAGCTTAGTGAGATCTTGTCTCAAAAATAAACTAAAAAGGTCCAGGGGTGGAGCCCTGAGCTCCCTGGGTTCGATCCCCAGGACCACCAGAAAAAAAGGCATGGAAGGAGAGGGAGATCATTTACCTGTAGAAGTTAATGCCTGAGCGAGAGTCTTCTTTCTTAAAGAAGCAAAGCACCCCCTTGGGCTGTTGCGGCGCGTGGGTGATGGTGATGGTGATGCCTTAATCTTACCACCTGGGCTAGGGAGGGCATAGAGGGCGAAGTCTGGCGCTGTCTGCCGGAATGGTGTGCATAGCCATGGGGGGCCTGGGCGGAGCCCGACGTCCAGCAGCTGCCCCGAGTGTCCTGGACCGGTGCTCCTGCCTCCCTGAGGGGGCACGGCAGCGCTGGGCGGTTTTCCGGGCGGTTCTGTGTGGGTTCACCGGGCTCGGTGTCTCTCCATGTGCCGGGCTCACGTGGAAACGTGAGGCTCCTGCTCTGAGCTCCAGTGGGGGTTCCTGTGCATGAAGACGCCCCTCTCAACCTGGGAGTGGATCCCGCTTCACCCCGTTGTCTACACCTTTCGTGTGGACCCAGGTGCACTTTCTGCACATGCTGTATTAAGATTTGTGGTTCTAACCAGGCCAGATTGCAAGTCTTTTCCTAGTGGAACTGAGCTGTGGTGCTGCTCTGCGGTGGTCTGGTTGAAGCTGTTAAAAGCGCCCTGGTGCGGGGCGGGCGTCTCGGGGAAGCCTCGCTGCGTGGCAGCTGCTGCATCCGGCCTGACTCCTCTGCTGCTTTTAGGTGTCTCTTCCCCAGCCACCCTCTCCCGGTTGTTCTTACCTTTACAGATCTGTCTCCTGTATTCCTCGCCTTCCTCTAAGCAAAGCTCCCATTTTCCCAGTGAAACTGATTTCAACCATGCGTTAAAGGGAAAGCAGTTTTTTTGTTTAACTTACTTAGTTTTTTTTTTGATAGGCAACATATCCCATAGTGAAAAATTCAAATTGTCTAGTAATGCCGACAGCGAGTAGCAGTTATGAATCACAGAGAATCTTGGATTGGGAAACAGACGCCTGCTAAACCGTTGGTTTCTGATACCGTCTGTAAAATGTAACCCTCAGAAGTAAGTGGCGTCATGAAAGGGGAAAGGTTTTTAGGCCAAAGCAGTGCCATGTAAGCAAGCAAACCTGCGGGTTTCCTCCTGGGAGCTGTGCTACTCTCTTACTTTCTGTAGTTTCCGTTTTGCTTTTTGCCGGACCCATCAGCTTGCACAGCGTTCCGGTTTTTGGACACGCAGTAGTTCCACGGCGATTTGCTTCCAAGCACGGGGAGGAGCAAGGACCTTTGTGAGATCAGGCAGGGTTTGTCTGTATTTGTTTATTTCTCTCAGGATTTGTTTCTGAAGACCTCAGTTATTTATATGCATCAGTCTGTGACTTGGTGCTGAAATTAAGTGTGAGTGGAAGTATTTTTAAATCTATAAAATTATGCGTTTATTTTTTCCATTTTTGTAAAATTACCTAGTCCTTGTCAAAGAGCCATTTTTAGCATAGTAACATTCTTTTTCCCTTTTCTTTAGATTTATTATTTTGGAAAACCAATCTAAAGGCTTACATTTTTAAACTCCAGAATTAAGCTTGACATACATTTAACTAGATTCGTTATTTTGGCAATAATCTAACTTCTTTTTTTGTGCAAAATATCGTGTTCTTAAGAGAGGCATGACAAAAGGAGCGAGTGCTGCTTCACGGCTCGGGGTGTCTGGTCCGACTGTGCACTTTGCGGAAGCCCCTGCGCCGCAGTAGGCACGAAGGGTGAACCAGTACCAGCCGGTTCGTGCAGGAGAACCCAGTCCTGAACCGCAGTGCCATCGGATCGGGAGAGCCTGCCTGGTACACGCCTGCTCCCAGTCATTTCGGTAGTGTCCTCTTCAGGCAAAGACGCTTTCAGCAGGGCGGAGGAGGCGCCTAGTGTGTGAGGCCCTGCGTTCAGTCTCCAGCACCGCACACACGTGCACACGCACACACGTGCACACACACACACAGTGTTCAGTAGTACAAGCCTTGGAATTAAGGGAGTACAGTAGAAAGGACATTTTATTGAGCTGGGTTGGCTGTGTATGCTCCTTTCTCCACATTACAGGTACTCCTGCCTAAGTAACTGGTATCTTGCATAAAAGATAGCACTGTCACTGGACTAATAGTACAGGGAAAATTGGATTTGGACCTTTACCTCATACTGCACACAGAAATCAATTCGGGATGGATTGTAGGCCTGAATGCGAAAGGTAGAAAGAATAAAATTGTTAGAAGAAAATGTACTTTGCAGTGGCAAAGTACAACCGTAAAAGAAGAAACTGAGGAACTGGACTATTGTGAGGCTGGCTTTCATAAAAAGAAACTTGAACAGCGCCCCTTACCCATTCTGGCGATGCGGCCTCTCCCTGGCCCTCCGCCCCGGACGCTACCGCTCAGTGGCGGGCACCTGACCAGGCCTGTTCCCGATTGCTGCCGCTGCTTGGCGACTCCTCGGGCTTGGGGAGCGGAAGAGCAGAGCCGCGCTTCCCCGGGAGGCCTCTGAGCGAGGCGTGGCGGCAGCCGCCCCGTCGGCATGGGCAGGAGACCCTAGCGGCGGGGGAGAAGCCGCCGCTCGCACCCGCGGAGGGAACCGGTCGGCAGCCTTGCGCCTCAGTACAGGGTCGCTGCGCGGCTGGGCGGCTTCCCAGGCCCAGGCGCAGGCCCGGCGGTGGCCCTCCGCACGTCCCTGGGCTCGGGCCTGTGGACGCCAGAGCCCGCGGCCCCAGCGCTGGTCCAGGCCTCGCCGCCCCGTGGAGACCCGGCTTAAATTAATCCTGAGGGGTCCCGGGAACAGCGCACTGTCCGGCCCGAGGGCTCCCTCTTCACCGGCCCTCCGCCTCCTCTCCCGTCGCTGCTCTGCCGCTGCGGCTTCCTTCGGCCTGTGACACCGGCCTCAGCTTAGGATCCCAGATCCTCTGTGACCCAGTTATGGGGAACAAGAATGCGAATGCGCTGCAGCCTGGCTTAGGGCATGGAGCGTCGAATGGCGCTGGACAGTCGGGTCCGCTGGCCAGAGCTGCGCAGGACCCGACCAGACCCAGCTCGGAGCAGGGCGCTTTCCACTCACGTTTTGGGCCATCGGAATAGTTTACTATTTTCTGGGAGGAGAGCTCAGTAAATGTTTATGATGAAAATAAACACGATAAGAACGAGTTTCAAAATAAATTTATTTTTGAAAGTTAATTATTCACAACACTTCTTGTTGCCTAGTGATAAAATTAACTAAATTCCAGAAAGAGAAATAAGAAAATACTGAGTAAATTTCTAATAAATTTTTTTTGGAGGGGGGTAACGGGGATCGAACTTGGGTCCTTGCGCTTGCACAGCAGGCGATGAAACCACTGAGCTAAATCCCCGGCCCCAAAACATATTTATGTATGTATGTATGTATGTGTTTATTTATTTATTTATTTATTTTTGGTACTGGGGATTGAACTCAGGACCTTGTGCTTTCAAGGCAGGAGGCAGAACCACTGAGCTAAATCCCCGGCCCTCTAATAAATTATTAACCTAGCCTCTTTTTACAAAATTGTGAACATATACATGTAACAGAAAAGGAAGAAATCAAAGCTGAACTTCTGTGGCCAGCAGCAGGGTCAGAAAAGGAAATTACCACACTGCATAATGCATTTTGTTTGCAGCAGGTTACTTATAGTCCAAATGAAAGATTTTTTTTCCTTAAAAAATTATTTTTCAGCAAAATTACTTCCTGTGAAAATAATCAGTGACTACTGGGTGTATGACTTTACTTTTTGGTTTTTTAAGACAGGGTCTCACAATGCACGTTGGTCCTGAATTCACTATGTAGCCCAGACTGGCCTCCAACGCTTGGCAGTCCTCCTGCCTCAGCCTCCTGAGTGCCGGTATTACAGCTGTGCACCAGCATACTTGGCTTTAACTTTCTTAATTCTTTTGGAATTCCTATTGTAAGGTTCATTAAAAAATTGAATCTCTTTATTGTTTTAAAAATTCTTACTTTGATAAAAATGTTAAATGCAGTAAAAATACAAATTAAATAGAAACAGGGCTGGGAATTTAGCTCAGTGGTTCTGGCACCTGCCTCGAAAGCACAAGGTCCTGAGTTCAGTTCCCGGTACCAAAAAAAAAAAAAAGAAAAATAGAAACATTCCTCAATTATTTTTATAAGTACCTGCTTTTGTTTATTTAAGCCCAAATCTTGAGGCTTTTAAAAATGCTCTTTTATTAAGCAGAGTGTGTAGAGAAAAGGAACCTCATGATTGGAGACAAGATTTCCCACTGCCAGCTGTCTACAGATGTAAGCTGATAACAGCTCAGAGACTGTGTATGTGTGTGTGTGTGTGTGTGTGTGTGTGCGCGCGCGCGTGTGTGTGAGACAGGGTCTCACTATGCAGTTTAGGCTGTCATTGAGCTCACTGTGTAGCCCAGGCTGGCCTCTAACTCTCAGCAATCCTCCTGCCTCAGCCTCCTGAGTGCTGGCATGACAGATGTGCACCGCCACATCCAGCTTCACAGACATTTTTTAAACTTTAGATTTCTGAATAATTTCAAATTTATAGAAATTCTACAAGAATATTACAGAGGACTTGCGAACCCTTTCTTTGCCCAGATTCATCGATTTTTACCATTTGCCACATGTACTTTCCCTGACTGTCACACGTTTGTAGACACATGAACCCCTGTTCTTTCTAAACATTTGAGAAGTCCTACCCAGTGCCTTTTATCATTAGATCCTTCAGTGTGTATTTTCTAAGGGCAGAAATACTCTTACGGGAGGGTAATAGAGATAGCTAAAATCAGGAGATTTAACCTGGCTACCAGCAGCTGCTGTTGCTTCATTCAGCTTCTCGGCAGAGCC